CACCGCGCCGATCGTTCAACGCTGAATCGCTCGCGGCCCCGATCGTTCAAAGTTGAATCCCGTCGGGTCCGCAGTGGCGTCACCGTGTCCATCGATGCTTCAACGTCGCAAGCTTCAACTTTGAATGCCTTCGACAGCGCCACCGGCGCGCCATCGCCGCATGAACCTGCCGTATAGGTGGGGTGCCGGGCCACGTGGGGCTGGCCGAGAAGATTGCCTTGGGCTCGCTTGCGAGAAGCTGGCTGCCGCGTGCCTGAGCATCCTGAACTGCGCAGTGCGCAAGGCGTTATCCACCCGAGCACTCGCGTCGCGTACGTCTGGGGTCCTCCTTGGGTTTCTGGGGGAGAGCTCTTGCACGCTTTCCCCCGGGGCGGTAGGCGACCCGATGATGATGATGAGGAGGAGGAGGAGGAGGGGAAGGAGGAGGAGGAGGAGGAGGAGGAGATGGAGAGAGAGGAGAGAGGAGGAGGAGGAGGAGGGAGGAGGAGGAGGAGGAGGGAGGGAGGGAGGAGGGAGGGAGGGGAGGGAGGGAGGGAGGGAGGGAGGGAGGGAGGGATGTAGGAGGAGAGAGGAGGGAGGAGGAGGAGGGAGGGAGGAGGAGGAGGAGGGGGAGGAGGGGACGGGGGAGGGAGGAGGGGCGGGAGGAGGGAGGAAGAGGAGGAAGGAGGAGGAAGGAGGAGGAGGAGGGCGAAGGAGGAGGGAGGAGGAGGAGGAGGGAGGAGGAGGAGGAAGAGGAGGAGGAGGAGGAGGAGGAGGAGAAGAAGGAGGAGGACGGGTCGCCTAAGCCCTTCGGCGGAGAACTCCTCCAAGAGCTCCATGACGTCTAAGGTCCTGGCCTTGCGATCTGGGCGGCGCACGGGGGCACGCGGAGGCGCGTTGGCGAGACGGACCCCCGTCGCGCTGCAAAAAAACATCTTCCCCAAGAGGGCCCCAGATGGCCATAACTGCGGCATTCCTGTGGGGCAGCTTATTTTTTGAGTCTATCTGTTTTTTAAGTTCAATCAAACCAGACCTCCTCGCTGTGTGACGAGAATCACGACGGGAAGTTTTTCCCTATTCTCTGCCTCTGGGGGCCCTTACCAAACCTCGGGACCGTCAAAAAACGACTCGGGGCGAAAAGCCGGTCCCCGGGAAGGGGTCCAGACCTCAGGGGATCACGTCATGAAGATATCACGACGTCGGGGGTCTGGGGACCCTGAGATCCTGGCGATGCGACTCTTTCGCAACGGGCGTTTCCGCCCAGCTTCGGGCCCCGGGACCCTCACAGATCGATCAGGCTCGAGAACTGATGCAGGAAGATGGGGTCAAGGGCCCAAGTCCTGATTTTTCGCGATGGTGCACATATTTTGCATCGTCAGATTTCAGGGGACGGCATTCCCTCGGCGTTTCCCTCGGTTCGGCTCCCTCGGTTCTTGGCGGTTTCCGCCGCTGTCGGGCGTCTGCCTCGGTTCTACGGCAGAATTCCCGCCGTGCCGACCCCGGCGTTGGTTCCTGACACCGCGCTGGCTCGTTCAACCTCGACCGATCGGCGGCTTTTCGATCGCCAGATCGCTCCCCAGTGGGCCGATCCTGGGGCCACTGGCGGCGTCCGACCCTGAACGCCCGCGGCGGGGCCGCGGCGAGTCGACACCACGCGAGCCTGCCCTGTGTAGGCGGTGCCCCAGCCTCGGGATGCCTTCCGGCAGCTGCGCCTCGGCGAGGGCTCTCTCTGGCGGTGCCCGGAGTTGCCCGGAGTTGCCCGCACGGCAGCCGGGGGGCCCGAGCCAGGGCCCGGAAGGCACCCGGCGTCGAGGACGGCGTTGAGGACCTCGCCAACTCGAGGCCCAAATTACGTCGGATCCACGTTGGATTTGCGTCGGGCTCCCATCGGGCTCCCGTCGCGGATTTGCGTCGGAGCATCGCTGCGCGAACGTCGTCCCGTGTTTTACGAAGCGGGCGGGAGGAAGGCAGTCAGGCCTGGCTGGATTTAGCCTGGAACTCAGCCAGACTAAGCGGGATCGATCGGGGTAAGCGGGATGAAACGGGATTAAACGGGACTGGACAAGAGTAGGACGGTTTTCGATCAGGGATCGGAATTTGGGGGGTGAGATCGAAGTGGAACGGAGAGCCCCCCATCGGGAAATCGGTTTCGGTTTCGTGTTCGTGCGTGCCGTGCGTGCGGGCGAGGCGAAGCTGCGTGGGCGGGCGAGAAGAAAGTCTCCTGCGGCTGAGGCGCGGCCAGGCCAAATGATTCTCCCTCCGGCAAGCGGTGGCCTGCGGTGTCCCGCGGTGTCCCGCCAATGTGCCGCTTGTGGCTGGGTGCCGGCCGGACCAAATGATTCTCCCTCCGGCAAGCGGTGGCCCGCGGTGTCCCGCCGGTGTCCCGCCAGTGTCCCGCCTGTGTCCCGGTGTCCCGCTGGTGCGAAAACGATAGTGAGACCGATGACGAAATCGATTGTGTGATCGATAGTGAGATCGATAGTGAGACCGATAGTGAGATCGATCGTGAGATCGACAGTGAGATCGATAGTGAGATGAATAGTGATATCGATTGTGAGATCGAGTGCTATCGATAGGGAGAACGATAGTGGGATCGATAGCGAGATCCAGAGTGAGATCGACAGTGAAATCGATCGAGTGAGATCGATCGAGTGAGATCGATAGTGGGATCGATGGTCCCAAGAGCGAGCGGCAACGCAACAATCACCACTGTTGCCCATTGCAGGCCCCCCTGCCCCCCCAACCTCCTTATCACCCGCAGGGAGGTTGTCATAGGTTAGGGGGTGAGATCGCAGTGAAACGGAGACCCCACACCAGGAAATCGGTTTCGGTGTCGTGTCGGCCAGCCAATCGTCGGCTACACGCAGGAGTGACCCTGGGCAGGAATGGCCTTCCCAGACTCCCTCGCGCTGTGAACAAAATCACGACGGGAGGTTTTACGCTGTCTTCTGGCTCCAGGGGCCTTTGGGGTCGACGTCAAGAACATATCACGACGTCGGACGTCGGGGGTCTGGGACCTTCGTTTGGTGCGCGGCTTGTTGGGGGGGCCGCGGGGGGGCCAAACACAAGCGCGCGAAACGCTACCACTAGGTCGGGCGTGGCCCCCCTACAGGCGGATTTTCGAAGAAAAAACAATTGTCAAACAATGTCCCCAAATGGTCAAAGCAAAAATATCAAAACATCGTCCCCACATATTTTTTCCTTTTGTGAATATTCTTCCTGTAGAGGAACACGCCCGACTTAACGCTACCGCCGCATCGCGCCCGGCCGTGGGGGGTGGGGCGCCCAGCGGGCCCGCGCCCAAGTTCACTCCGGCGAAGGGTCGTTGTCCAGAGTGTGGTCGATCTCGGCCAGCGCCCATGGTGCTCTGGTCGTCCAGCGTGGCTGCTCGGGGTCAGGGTTCACAGGGCGCGTTCCAGGAAGGGCCTGGCCTTCGAGGATCGAAGGAGTGGCCATCACTTCCGCGGCGGACTGCGGCGGAAGGTCGGCGGAAGTAAACGAGACCGCCCCCGCCGGCGGAAGCTGGCGGACGGGCGGCGGAAGTAAAAGATGCGCCCCCAAGAGACGAAAACGTCTTTGGGCTCAGGGTTTATGAAACAGCCAACATGTGGCCACCTAGGTGTAGAAGCAGTGGAGCTTGTTTTTGTTGTATACTCCGGCAAGTTTACTTGCATGGACGGGGGGTGAAACAGCCTGGCCATGAACCTGAGCAAGCAGCCCATCCCAGTCCTGAGCCATGAAAAAGGACACCGGCTCGCTAATGTTCGTTTGAAGAGGGCGAGGGGAGCAGGGGGGGGGGCAACGCCATGCAAATACATTGGCCAGAATCTACAGACAAAAATACAGAAACTCCCCAGACCCCCGGTTTGCATCCTGAATCGTTTCTTGACGCTCCCGAGGCCCAGCGAGGGCCCCTGGACCCCGAGAATAGTGAAACATCCCCCGTCGTGATGTTAGTTTGACAACAAAAAAAGGCTCTGAGAAACCTGCCCCCCTCCCCCCTTGCGCGCGCCACCAACCCGCGCTCGGGGCCCTCGTCGTCGTCGTCGTCGTCGTCGTCGTCCTCGTCCTCGTCGTTGTCAACGTCCTCCTCGTCGTCGTCGTCGTCGTCGTCCTCGTCGTCGTCGTCGTCCTCGTCGCCGTCGTCGTCCTCGATCGATCGAGGCCTCCGCCACCGGCGGCAGCCCGGGCCAGCGGCACGCGAAGCCCACGTGCTGCATCATGAGCAGCCCCGCCGCCCGCAGGCGGCCGCCCACGGCCGCCAGCGCGGGGCCGTGCTCGGCCCCCCGGAGCCTTCGAGCAGGAGCCCGCTTTTGTTGTGTCGACTCCCTACTCCAGGCTTTGCCTCCTCGCGGCCCCTCGTTCTGAGGCTGCGCCCCCCTTTTTTCCCCCCCTTGTTCTCTGGTGAAACTCAAGCTTCGCGCGGCCCGCTCAGCTTCGACCGGAAGAGGTGCGCTCTCGACCCGCGAATAAAAAAACTGTTTTGTTGTAGACTCCGGCAGGTTTACTTGCATGGACGGGGGGGGGGGGGGCTGGGGCCTGGAATGCGCCAGGAACGACCTGCACTTGCGGAAAGCTCGCGAGCCGGAAGGCAGTTGCAAGGCAGTATTCGTCTGAAGAGGAGCGAGGGGTGGGGGCGGCGGGGGCGAACGCCATGCGCGTAAACTTGCCGGTTTCCAAAAAAAAGCAGGCTCCTACAGAAGTGATGTGCCCCAACACTGATTTGTTCGCCGCATCTACCCAGAGATCCGAGGAAACGATTGTTTCCATCCTGCGGCTCTTCCTGGACGTCGGCATGCGGGGCCTTTGGTCGGGCCCGGGGGCCATGAAACACGGATCCGGGGCGAAACACGACCCCAGGGGAAGGGGTCGGGGCCTCTGGGGTCGCGGACTAAAGCATCGTGTGTGCGGATGTCTGGGCACGGAAGATGCGTATACAGTTCGTAGAGCCACGCACATTACGCGTATACATATATATAGATATGATCGTCGAATCGACGAGCACATCAATCTCTGGGGCAAATCAATGTTGTAGTCGATCCCCTGCGCGAAGCCTGGAGAACGGCTCGGCCGCGGAGGCGTTCAGGTCGTGCGCGACGGCGTTCAGGCTCTGCTCCGCCAGGTCCTCGGTCGGGGGGGTGCTGGAGGTGCCAACGGCTTCCCCGCTCCCGTTTGGAGCCAGCGGTGCTCTGGAGGCCAGCGGGGCCTCCTCGGCAACCTTTATAAGAATTGGGGCATCGCTGTGGAGACGCCCGAGGCGGGCACGGAAAGAAGATCGCACCATGCCCAGCAACAGATGTTGTCCAAAACCGACCGCGGCCGCTGTTGGGCAGGCGGCCTGGTGTCTTCAGTGAACAACGTCCGCGGCGGCCTCGGACACCGAGTCGTGTTCACAACGACCAGGGACTACTGCTGGGCATCGTACCCCTTCCTTCCGTGCCCAATTCCATCCTCCCGAACCGTGGCCCCGGGACACCTCTGGCAACACCCGGCTCGGTCGGCGGCGCGCAGGCCGTCCGACTGCGAAGGCCTGCCGCGGCGGGCCCAGGGATCCGATGCCGCGCTGCTTCCATGCGGGGAGGGTGAGAATAGCAAAACACCTCCCACGACGATGTTTTCACGAAGCGAGGGGGTCTAGGCGATCTGCGGGGCTTTGCGTCCCGGGCCCGCGACGCGTGCATGGCGCCGCGAGCGCTGCCGGGCCCGCGAACGCCCGCTCGCCCGCATCCGCCCGCCCGCCCACACGCTCCCTGCTCCGCCGGCGGGGGGGCGTCATTGAAGCGGGAGCCAGAATGAGCAGCAGACCAGCGCGACTTCTGCACGACGTATCGAGCGGGTGGCTGGCAAGCCCGCACACCACACACTTATACACACATTCACAAATGCACACACACACACACGCACACGCACAACACACACACGCACACACGCACACACGCACACACTCACACACGCACACACACACACACACACACGCACACGCACACGCACACGCACACGCACACGCACACGCACACGCACACGCACACGCACACGCACGCACACGCACACGCACACGCACACGCACACGCACAGCACAACACGCGCACGCACGCACGCACGCACGCCGCGCACACGCGCGCCCCCCCCCCCCCCCCCCCCCCCCCCCCCACACACACACACACACACACACACACACACCACACACACACACACACGCGCACACACACACACACACACACACACGCGCACGCACGCACGCACGCACGCAGCGCTACGACACGTGAGGCAGGACGTGTACGCAGCGGGCCCTCTTTGAAAGCGAGGCGAAAATACCATGCTAGTGGCCTCGCCAACCGCCACGTCCCGCACCCCTCCCCCCAGCCACATGTTCAAAGCCCTGAACGGGGCGTCGCTCCAACATCCACCTTTAACGAGGGACAACGTTCCAGCAGCTCACGTCGTGCGCTCTGGCAACCCACTGTTACGCGGGACAGCGTTCCAGCACTCACGGTGTGCGTTCTAGCACCATTTTCCTACGAGGGAAATCGCTTCAGCAGCCCACGGCGTGTGTTCAAGCTCTGCGCTTTTACCGAGCGCGAGCGTTCCAAAAGGCCACGGCGTGCGCTTCATCACTACATGTGATACCGATCGCGGGCGTGCCAACCTCGGTCTCAACCAGCGCAGTGAGGAACACATCTAGTCGAAAATCTCCCTAGCAAAATCACCCACCGACTGCGCGCCACCGAGATTCGCGCTTCGCGCCGCCCGAAGCGCGACACGCGGCCATCCCCGCGCTCCCGCGACCAGCAGCAATACATTGGCAGCGCGCGTAGCCCCTCGGCTCCAGTCCGCCATGGGCGCTAGGCGCGGCACCCAGAGGTTCAGAGCTCACTGCACCCCTCCAAGCATCATGAGCTCGTGCACCCGGCGTCGCAAGGCCTTGACCTCCTCGTCACCGGTGACCACATTCAAATATGGTTGGATAGCCACGTCGAGCTGCATCAGGTTGCCTCTCGGAAAACCGAACCTGGTCAGGACCGCGTCGAACTCCCTCTGTAGCAGATCCCGGCGCTCGCGCGCGAAGGGGGCGAGGCCGCGCATCTTGCCAGGGTGGTTCCGGAGCAGCTCCCTCATCCTGCCCTGGACCCTGGGGTCCTCCAGGCGGAACGCCAGCAGCCCCAGCAGGTCCATCGCCCTGGGCGCCGTGAGCTCGCCTGGCTCTGGGGGGGCCGGCAGCTGCCGCATCAACTGCTCTCCTCCCGAGGATACGGGCGCCCAACCCCTCCTGGGGCCCGCGCCAGACAGTTCGGTGGCAACTCGTGGGACCCTCCCATACCATCTTACCGGCTCTTGCGAATTGACGCTAGTCGACGCTAGTCGACGCTAAATCGACTCTAAATGACTCTAAATCGACGCTAGTCGACGCTAACCGACGCTACATCGGCGCTATATCATCGACTCCCAGACGCTAATCGACGCTAATCGGCGCTAAAGAAGCAATTAAAAGGGTATACCAGGCTCCCATGATTTGCTACCGAAGGACAGCTTGCTGAAGCAGACGTGGCCCTCCTTCAGCTGCAGCTCCTCCACAAGCGCTCCCGTGGCCAGGCGCTCGGGCAGCAGGGGCGCGAACGGCCCGTCCTCTCGCACCGCGACGCCGCCGGAGCCGGCACCACCGACGACCTCCCACTCGCGCAGCGCTCTGCGCCTTCGCTTGTTGGTCTGGTTGAGCTGCGTGCAGGCCCGGACCATCCGGTCGCGCTCGATCTGGTCGTCCACGAAGTCCCAGAGATATCTGCGCCCGGGCATGACGACGTCGTCGAAGAGCACAGGGGCGCTGGGGCAGTACTTCGCAGCGACCCGGTGGGACATGACGTAAGACGAGGGATCCCGGTCCAGGAAAGAATACATGCGGCTGGCAAAGCAGTGGTCATGCTCTGGAGCTTGCTCGCCGCAGGCGTTCAGAACGGGCAGCGGCAGCATCACCTCCGAGCTGGAGCCCGGGAAGGACATGGCGCGATACAGTCGCTCCATTGGCATGCCCAGGGGCCACGACCGGTAGCGAGTCCCATCCAAACGCATGTCCCAGCAGTAGTGGGTGTGGCCGAAGATGTGCACGTCCGGCCTGAGCTGCTCGACGCGGGCCCGGATCCAGTTGCTGCCTATCAGCTTTGCCAAATTGGGCTGCATGCTGAACCGTTTCTCGGGGTGCAGCTCGATCCTCGGCAAAAAATGCGAGAACGAGAGGATCGGCCGCCGTCGCTTCCCGGGTGCTTCCTTGGCATCTGCCACCAGCTCTGGTGGCAAAGGCCAAGAGCCCCACTCCTCGTTCTCGCTGTCTATTCGTTCCGCGAGAGCCTCGCTTCCATTCTCCAGATCGCCCCACTTGCAGAGGACGTAGTCGTTCGACATGTCGGCCGCCGAATCTGGCTCTCTCCTCAGCCTTTCGCCTGGAGGCGCCTCCAAGTCGGGCTCCGTATCCCAGGAGTTGTGGTACCAGCCGAAGACTGGCACGATCCAGACCCCATCCACGAGTGCTGCGTCTGTGCGCACCCCCATGGATCGGCAAAGCTCGCGAATCGCGCCGATCTTGGCGAAGGAATCGGCGTACGGGCCGTTCTTGGACACCCAACACTCGTGGTTTCCGAAACAGTCCTCCGCCCCCCTGGCTGGAGGGCCATCCAATTGCGAAGAGGTATCGCTAACTCTCTCTCTCTCTCTCGATATGTTGTTCTATATCTCTCTCTCTCTCACACTCCTTCTCTCTCTTGCAGCCAATATGTATGTATACACAGAACTTGCTGTACATATACATCTGGAATGAAATATGGCCCATCTGACAAATGCACAATTCTGTGGGTACATATATTTAAGTATAGATGTGTCTAGATATTCACATTCATACATGGGTATACACACCCATCGACAAATGTCTTTTTTATGTGTATATATATATATGTGTGTGCATCGACGTACCCATGTACATGCGTATAACAGAGCGCATGTGTACATGTGCAAGTACACATAAACGAGCACACGCACACACATGCGTGTGTATCGCCAGCGTTCCCTAAAGCGCGAGCTGGAATGTCCTTAGGTCCCTGAGGTCATCCGCCCCCTAGCCGGAGGATTCTCTAAGGGGACCACATCCCTCATCCCCGGGCGCTCCTGGGCGCTCGTGGGGCGTCGCACGACTCTGCCAGAGCCGAGAGGGCCCCAAGACTGGCCGAGAGGCCCCCAAGACGGCCCAAGAGAGCCCCGACTCGGCCCCAAAGGCGCTCCAAGCTGCCCGGGATGGCGTGCTGACGGCCCCAGACGCCGCCGCCGGGGGGCGCCCGGACCCTGCCGCAGGCGCTCACGGCCGCGCTGCAGGCCACCGCGTCGGGCTCCAGGCCGCGGCTGGACATCTCGCGCAGCAGCGCCAGGGCGCCGCGCCACTGGTGGCCAGAGGCCCCCGGCAGGGCCCCAAGACGGCGTCCGGACGGCCCCCAGGACGGCCCAGGAGGACCCCAAGAGGGGCCGAGAGGGGGCCCCGGGGGAACACGAGCCGACATTTCGAGCCCGTCGCCCCAAGAGCACCCCCGACGAAGCTCCGGGAGGCTCCCAAGATGCCCAGAGCAGGCCCCAATCGGTCCCCGAGAAGCCCCCTTAAGGCACTCCAGTAACCTCCCCCGAGAAGCCTCCCAAAATAAATCCACAGGCGTCCATGAGGGCTCGGACCTACAATCATGGCACGGTGGCGGGATGGGGCCAAGGCCACTCTCTCTCTATCTCGTTGTTTTGCTGTTGTTATCTATCTCTTTCTTTATATATTTATGTATATATGTATAGTTACCTCTCTCTCTGTTGTTGTTGTTGTTGTTGTTGTTGTTGTTGTTGTTGTTGTTGTTGTTGTTGTTGTTGTTGTTGTTGTTGTTGTTGTTGTTGTTGTTTGTTTTCTCTCTATCTCTCTCTCTCTCCTTCTCTCTTTCTCTCTCTCTCTCTCTCTATATATATAGATTTCTCTTTTTGTCACACACGCACATGTCACTCTCCACATGTATATTTATGGCATCAAGGCGTAGCCCGCGAATGTATACTGGCTCGATCACAGTATATCCACGGGGTGGGTGCTGCTTTCAATCATATCCGTGTATGTGCCTTCGTGTCCTCTTCCTGCATTCATCCTCATGGTGGCCCGCTATCCCAGGACCGTGTGTAAATCTTGCACTGCGCCAACTGCATTACGATGCGGGTCGGCGTTACAGTTCTGGATACCCTAAGCCGATGAATCTCGAATGGTTTTGGATACCCAGACCCATGGAGGAGTACGATGATGGGTTGCTCTCTATATGACTCGTGCGACTGCTGAATCTGAACAACTTCCTCCCCCTTCAACTTCCGTGTTTTCGCGTCCGTGTGTCTTGCTCACCTGAATGTAATGCCAACCTCTGGCAAATATCCCCACTCTGCAAGACTTGTCTACCAACTGATCATCCTTCGCCATGCAAGATAGACGTATCCGTCGCGCAAGCTCGTGACCATCCCCGTATACTTCAACCTCGACCAATTGCATAGCTAGACGCTCCCCGCAACCACCTGCGATCCCAGCATGGCTATACAGTCTCCAACCTGTTGCGGCATCGTCAAGACCTCTTCTGGGTGATCAGCCATATTCAAAAGTATTGGCGCGTGGACTTTGCTCACCAACAGTAATGGATTGGACGCGGAAGCAAGACATTCCGATATTCGAAGTTCGCCCAACGCCACTGTCGCATTCCCGTGGTCGAGGCGTGCGAAGACGACTGTGGACGTCGAGGTCGTAGCCGTCCGTGTTTTTCGCGAACGTCTGTGCAGATCACTTTGCGGTGGACTGGCTCTGTGAGCGGGAAGGGCTGCTGTGGTGATCCAGGGAGGCCTCCGTGACGGTTGCCCGGACCTGGGCCAGCACTCGCCCCTGCTCGACCCTGGGAGGCAGGCGAGGGGCAGGAGGACGCCGAGGGCCTACGGTGTCGAAGGCCGTCTGCGTGCGGCTGCTTCGCAGCGGCCTGGTTATCATCGGAACTGCTGGCGCTGGCGAGACAGTGGACCTGCAGCCCGTGCGGTCGAATAATTTTGGCGCGGTTGCAGACGCAGCCTCCTCCACCTGCAGATGCTCCTCCTGCTGGTACTGCTACTCCTCTTCCGCATTCTGCTACTGCCCATCTTTCTCCTCGTTCTCGTCCTCCCCCACATCCTCTCCTCATCCACATCCTTGTCGGATACTGACGTCAAGGCGGTCTTGACCGTGACTGAGAGTTCCTGAAACAAGAACTTTGGAATCTGAAGAGCCGCAACTGCTCCTTATGTGGGCACACTGCCGCTTGGAAAGTGGCCGCAGGATGGCCACCAGATAAGAGGAGCAATTCGTCATTGATCAGTTCTTCGTCGTCTGCGATCTTGTCGATGGGTGTCCCCGTTGATGCAATGCCAATTGTTCGGCGACCCACGCAGGGTGCTACACGCCAATTCGCTGCCTCGTTGAACAGAGGGCGAGTAGTCGTGTGGAAAGGGGGGAGATGAGTGGGATAATGCCTCAGTAGACAGAGTGGGAGGGGGGACCAGGCCACGCACATCGAAACGCTCTCAGCCTGCCCCCTCCGCCTCACGCCCGCGCCCGTCATAGCAGCAGGGGTGCTGGGGGCACCGCCGCTGCAGCCGCTGGCCGACGAGCGGGTCGTCTTGCCGCGGACGCGGGCGTGCCGCAGGGCGCGGCCGCGCGGTAGGGGCACGGCGGGCGGCCGCCACGTGGCCCTCGGCCCGCGGCCTCAGCGGGGCCCTCGCCTTGGGCGTTGTCCCGCGGGGCATCGCGCGCCGCGGCTGCCACGGCTGCGCCAGCCATCGCGCTGACCGCTGCGGCGGCAAGGGCCGCCGCTGGGGCCCCCAGGGCGGCGGCCGCGCCACTGGTCTGCGGGGGGCCCTGGTTGTCCTCCTCCTTCTCCGAGGTCTGGCAAGGGCGGTTGCCGGGAGAGCGGTCCGGCAACTTAAGCTCGGCGGCGCCCGAGAGCGCCCTGCATGGCAGCCCGCCCATCGGCCCCGGCGGCCTGCCCTGCAACCTGGCGGGGGCGGTTGCCGGAGGAACGATCCGGCAACCCCAGCACGGCGGCGCCCGCCGAAGGCGCCCTGCAGGCGCCCTGCCCCGCAGCCTGGCAGGGGCAATTGCCGGAGGAGCGGTCCGGCAACCCAAGCTCGGCGGCGCCCGAGAGCGCCCCGGCAGCCAGCCCGGCGGCCCCGGCGGCCTGCCCTGCCGCCAGGCAGGGACGGTTGCCGGCCTCCTGTGCAGCGGAGGGGTTCGGGCCTGCCGCGTCGTCCTGTTGGCCGTCCCACGCGAACCTGCGGCGAGCTGCTCCGAGGAGGTACGCGACCTTCTGGCCGAAGGTACGCTTGTCCGCGGGCGGCTGGGCAGGTCCGGGGTCCAAGGCGGGGGCCGTGCCGTGCGGGCTGGGCTCCCTGGTGCCAGTGGCTTCCGCGGGTGGGCGGCGGGGGCCTGGTGCGCCAGTGGCCGCGTCGCAGTACAGGACGACGGCCCCCGAGGCCGGCGACGTGTAGTCGGGGAACCACACAGGGGGGAGCCGAGGGGGCCTCCTGCCGCTGCCGTCGGCGCGCCCACCTGCGAGCCCTGCGTTTGTGCCTGTGTGGCGGGCCGCTGCCGCCGCGGGCGGCCGCTCCCAGTGGCCCTCCTGGCCTGCGCTGGGGCGGTCGCTCCAGGGGCCGTGCCGTTGTTCTCGGCGCCTCCCGGGGCTGAGGCTGCACGCCTACTCCGCCTGGTCGCGGCCGGGGGCCCGCCTGGCTCCCTGACCTGCCTGCGTGAGGGCCGCTGCGCAGCCTGGACGGCCTGGCCGTGGAGGATTCCGATGACTGCCTCGAACTGGCCCGCCGTGGAATCGTCGGGGACCTCCTCTGCGTGCTGCGATAGGTCGACGGGGGCCAGTGCGCCCGAAACGACGTGGGCGATGGTGGCGCTGATGCGGTTGGCCTGCGCGATCGCCTTGGGGGGGCCCTGGTGCGAGGGGTAGACGCCCTGGGCGATCCTCTTCAGCGCCTCCGCGGTCTTGCGCGTCGTCGTGCCTTTGCGCTCTGACCTCGATACCATGCCCAGCGTGGTGCCATAGGCTCCGCAGATGCCGCCGAAGAAGAGGCTGTGGGCAGGCCACTCGTAGAGGCGGTGCGACGCATGGGCGGCCCCTGTGCCCATGCAGACGGCGTTGCCTGGCGGGACCTTGCGGGCGTGGTCAAACGTGGCCCAGTCCGCCGCTGTGGCGTCTCAAGGTGCGCGCGCCGCCTCCAGCAGCGAAGGAGGAGGAGGAGGAGGAGGAGGGGGAGGAAGATGATGATGATGATGATGATGATGATGATGATGATGATGATGATGATGATGATGATGATGATGATGATGATGATGATGATGATGATGATGATGATGATGATGATGATGGGGAGGAGGAGGAGGAGGAGGAGGTGGAGGAGGAGGAACGGGAGAAGGAAACCCTGTACCCATGAAGAAGCGTTGTCCAACTTGGGGCCATATCCGAATATCTTTGTCACACAGTGCCCTACTCTACCTGTTTCCTCCTCTTCCTCCTCCTCCTCCTCCCTCTCCTCTACCCCGTCATCATCCTGTTCCGCCTGCTACGCCTCCTCATGATCATCCTCGTCGTCCTCACCCTCGTCCCACAATTCTCATGTCATTTCTCCTCCTCTTTCTTCTTGTCCCCCTCCTTGTCCTCCTGCCCCGTTCCGAGAGAGAGGAGGGGCGGCGGTGGTCCGCTGGAAGCGTTTCATATAGAACACGTGCCTGTACTTGCTCAGGAGCAGACGGAGCGCCTGCTCTATCTGGGAGATGTCCACCGCCAAATCCCCTGCAACAACAACGGTATGGAAGACCAGGCGCCCGCAAGCGGGGGTCCTCGCGGGCTGGGGCGCATGCGCCAGACCACCGTGATATGCGCGAACGACCCACGCCTCCAGCAACTCGAACAGATCGAGCTGGTATGGGGTTGTTGGTATCAGTGGAACGCCTCTGGCCTCACCCTCGCCTCACCCTCCCTTCCTCTCCCACCTGCGACCCAGCCAGATTGAGACCAACTCAAACACAGACTCACTCCGATCCTAAGACCACTCACACCCAGACCCACTCGCAGTCAGACTCACTCATGCTCAGGCTCACACATACTCAGACCGTACACATCCCCTTACAATCCTGCTCACTCACACATATGCCCACCCATACTCATTCAACACATACACACACTCACACGCGCTCATGCTCAGGCTCATTCCTACCGTGACGGTCAGGCCACTGTCACTCATACTCTCTCACGCACAAAAGCACTCATGGTCATTTCCACTTAGCCTCACTCACACCTTGACCACTCAGCCTCTCAGACTCGGACTCGCTCACATCACGCGTCATTCAGCCTTTCTCATACATCCACCCGTACTCATTCACACATAGACTCACCCTGAGGCCGTCGTGGAGGTATCTTAGGCCGCCTTAGGGGCCGCTTGGGCCGTCTTGGGGGCCTCTTGTGCGTTCTTGGGGCCGACTTGGGTCATCTCGGGCCGAACAATTGTAGGAAGTTGGGCGATTAGATATGGGGCGGGTCCTGCCAAACTGCTCGGCAGGGAGACGGAACGCGCGTGTACTTCGTGAGGGTGCGCGTTCGCTTGCCTAAGGTCTTGGAGCTCTGCTGGTGTAATTAAGATTAGCCAACCACCGTGCGGAGATCAATGTTTATTGTATGTTGCCTGGGCCTTCCTAGTGATCCTTTTGTGGTTCTTTTTTGGCAGTCTTGGGGCCCTCGCGGGCGTTCCTTGGGCCCTTTTGGGCCGTCTTGGGGGTCATTCTGCGTCGGGGTGCTCTCCAGCAGCTGCGCTTCGCCGAAGGCTCGAACTCCAGGGGCCCTCACCGGGCTGTGGCACCGTCGAGCACGACTCGAGATGAGAAAGCGGCCCTGTGGAAAAGGTCGGGGCTTCTCGAGGCCCGGAAAACGTCGGAGGAAGTAGGTCAAGGCATGAAGTAGGAAGGCGGATAAAGTAGATTGGGTCAGGCCCTCCCAGATAATAGCACACCGCAGCAAAAACATGTCGATTCTTGAAATCGGAAAGCGCGTGAAGCAGATTGGGATTTCGGTACCCAGAAGTATTTACTTTCAACGGCCGACGGGTATCGAACAAGTAGAGACCTCGGATGTCTTGGGAGAGTGCATTCAAAGTGTGTTCAACCAGAAGGAACGCGAGATAAGGAACGGAGCCCCTTTGTGCCTCTAAGCCGCCTGGTCTCAGGAGGAACGCTAGAAGGGATCAGCCATGGATTGACCGAATGAACAGTGAACCACTTCTAAACCCAACCCCCTCCTTGCTTCGAAGTCTTGGCCGTAGGAGGAACCAGAGAGCGTCCTCCTCGTCTGACGAGGTATATGTCGACCCCTATCCCAGGCTTCGTGGGGGGTTCTTTGGGGCCCAACCCTGGGATACACGATGGGGGGCGTCCATCCTCGATGGTGGTGCGTGAGAATAGACCCCTCGGGGTGTACCCCAGGGTCTCCCCTTTCTTCTGGGCGGCCAGACTTTTCGGGCGGAGTTGGGGAATGGGGAAGAAAAATAGCCTGCAATCGTCGTCGCCCTTCTCCTGGACGGTTTCCCCCCGAGGCCGTAGGCGACCCGATGAGGGGAGGGCGAAGAGGAGGAGGATGAGGAGCAGGAGGAGGAGGAGGAGGAGGAGGCGGGAGGAGGAGGAGGAGGTGGGAGGAGGAGGTGGGAGGAGGAGGAGGAGGAGGAGGAGGAGGAGGAGGAGGAGAAGGAGGAGGGAGGAAGAGAAGAAGGAGGGAGGAGGAGAGGAGGGGGTGGAGGAGGGAGGAGGAGGAGGAGGATGAGGCGGAGGAGGAGGAGGAGGGAGGAGGACGGGTCGCCGAAGCCCTTCGGAGAAACCCTCCGCCCTTGTAACCTGTAGGGCGACGTCCCGCTTGCCGGGCCCCGAGGAGGGGACACGCGGGCAGGCCCCGCAGCCAATCCATGTTGGCTGGCGCCTCGCAGTGCGGATCGCTGACGGCATGGACCGTCGGGATGTCGTCGAGATCGTCGAAATCGATCCAAGCCATGGCATCTATCATTAGTTCGGGCGTGTCCTCCTACAGGCGGATTTGTTTGACGACAAATAACACATACCTCGAACAGATGCAACAAATGCTCAGAAATACCCAACGAATCGTCACCAGACTATGTTTCACCATGTTTGAATAATCCTCCGTCGGGGAGACGTAAGACCCGGGTACGGGGGACTCGGAAATCCCCGACGAGGTCGTCAAAAAAATGACGAGGCCGAGCCTGCATTTTGACGAGGCCTCCCGCTGCAGACATCCCACAAAACTCCTCCTCGTCAAAATCCGAGTCGCGGTCGTCAAAAAACGATGGCGAACCAGAGTCCCGGCAAACCCGGGTCTTACGCTCCCCCGACTCCTGTAGAGGGACGTGCCCGACACAAATCGATCAGGCGGGTGGTAATGGGGGGGGTGACATACACGGGGTGTGAAGAACCAGGGGCCCAACAGGGGCCCTAAAGGGCCCCCTTGGGGCCCTTTCTCTTGGCCCCTCCTTCAGTAGAGGGCTGGAGATCCACCCCGACAATAAGCACCCCGACAACGCAACCGTTTGGCAAACGCACCCGACGCAGGAATCGAACAAGAAAGCGCTGTTTAGCAAACGCACGGGGCCGTGCAGCAAACGTCGATTATGGGGGTCGGGGTGGATTTGTCCTCGTTGATTCAGGTCACCCTTCCGATGCCACCCGCCCGAATCTATCGGCCAACCCTTCCTCTGCCCGGGCTCCTCGGGCCAGGTGGAAAGGACTGGCCTGCTTCGGGGAGACGCCTCGTGGCGAGGCCCCGCTGCGGCCTCTGACGAGACGAGAGCGACACGGGTGCGGCGGGCGGTTGGGGCGATTGTTAAGCACGCGCGCCCGTTTCTGGTGCTGCTCCTCATCCTCCTGCTCCTCTTGCCCGCCTCCCTCCTTCTCCCCACTGGTCGAGATCCTCCTGCTGATCCTTCTCTCCCTCCTCCGGCAAAGGGACAAGCGGGCAGAGCCCCTTCGTGTTCGACCCCGTGTTCCCCCCCCCCCCTCCCCCCAGATCCACAGTTGGGTCGGGCCTGGCGGAGGCCCTGGGTTTTTTTATGTTGTCCTCTCACGCCTGTGCTGCCGAATGCCTGGGGACCAACCTTGAATCTGGGGGGAGGGGGGGGGCGGAGTGAAGGGCTCCACTTGCTTGTCCATCCATCTGCGGTTCTGCCCCTCCCCCTCGCCCCTCGCCCCGTGTCCCGCGCCCCTCCTCTTCCTCCTCCTCCTCCCCAACTCCTCTCCTCCTCCTCATCCTCCTCCTTCTCCTCCTACTCCTCCTCCTCCTCCTCCTCCTCCCCTCCTCCTCCTCCTCCTCCTCCTCCTCATTATCCCATCCTTCGTCCTCCCTTGCCCTGCTGCTGCCCCTTCCCTTCTCCTGCTTCCTACCGCCGCGGCGCGCGCGCACCTTTTGGGCGAACGGGGCCCCGCCGGGCGCGACCCGGCGCAGTGCGGGGGGAAGCGGGGAGAGCACTCGGGCGCGACCTGAGCGACCCCTGGCAGGCCCCAGCCCCTGCCGTGACGTCACCCTCGCCTTTCGAGCCCCCTTCCAGCCGCATCGCATGCGTCTCGGGGCGAGGCTCGGGGGATGTCGCGGAAGGGGATAGATTTAGGTCGGGCATGTACCCCTACAGGCGGATTTGGGGACGACAGACTGTACTACAAAATATCAGACAAAAAATCGTAGACACATCGCCCCCGAGCTATTTTTGGACTATGTCTGAAGATTCCTCTCCTGTTAGAGGGACATGCCCGACTTCAGGACAGCTTGCTCGGGGTCGGCTAGGCCGCCCCGGAAGCACGCGCAGGTCCGCCACCAGGGAGCCTGCTCCGCAGGCGTAGAAGCGCACGGCACTTATCCGGTACTATCGACCAGGACTGGCGGCGCGCACCAGGGGACGGCGCGCGCGAGGAGGGGGCGACCAACCGAGAAGGCAGCGGGCTGCTCAGAAGGGATCGGCTCGTCCCTCGCCATCGCTCCGACGCCCCTGCCCCGTGCATGTGTGTGTTTTCGGCGTCCTGCGTGCGTGCCTCTTTTTTTTTGGGGGGGGGGGGGGCGCGAGGCTCCGGCGGGCTCCTCGAGGGCCCTCGCCGAGGAGCACGTGCACACGTCCGAGCGATGCCGCGAGGAGGGGCCGGCCCGTCCCAGAGGCTGGCATATGGCTCCTCGAGGGCCCTCGCCGAGGAGCACGTGCACACCTCCTCGAGCGGTGCCGCGAGGAGGGGCCCTGCCCCGCCCGGAGGCCGGCACATGGCAGCCTCGCCACAGGCGGGGCGGGGCCGCCGACGCAGGCGGGGGGCGCCGCCGCTCCGAGGGCCACGCCCCTCTCGCCCGTTGCCCCGCGCCCCCGCGTCGCCGACAGAGAGGGGGCGGGTCGGGCGAAAGGGGGGGATAGCAAAGGGGGGGGGGGTGAGAACCAGCTCGCGTAGCTGATTTTCCCGGCGCCTCCCGGCGCTGGAGGCGGCTATGTATCGAGGAGTGGGCCCCTCGGTGGGGCCGAAACCAGCTGCATGCAGCAAATTTCGTACCCCCCCCTTTCGTCCGGCCCGACAGGAGGCGGGGAGGAAAGGGGGACCAGGGGTACGTCTCCGGGGTAGGCAGAGCCCCCCCATGTAGCAAGACGTGGTTCGGTGAGAACGGCCTCGGGCCCAAGCCCGGCGGGCGCAGGCCTGCAGAACGACGGCCGCGGCGCCCGCTCGAGAACCCAAAACGGACAATTCCCTAATCGACGTGTCGGGGTGGGGGTTCTGTCCACCCCCGAGCGTTCCAACTGGGGAAACCAAAAGGTACCGATAATTATCGCTACCCTCTCCTCGTTTTCGCCCTCTTGGGCCTCCCGGGAGGCCCTCGTCGCCACCGCTGGACTCGCCTCGACGTCCTGGTCAGAAACTGCGCACTGTACTGCCACTTCTCGGTCGAAGATCCACGCTGCCACTGGGAAATCCAAACGGAACTGATACCGCTACTTCCTGGACCTCTTCCGGGGTGCGTTTCTGAGGAAAGGTGGAGAGGGGGTGCGATCCAACATTGCGGGATGCAGGGCTCCTCCCTCCCTCGATCAGGTGGAGCCTGTTTGTATCGACCGCTCTATAGCTCTCACTATCGATCTCATTACCGATCTCACGATCGCTCTGACTATCCATCTCATGCACTATCCCTCTCACGATCGAACGCACTATCTATCTCACTACCACTCACAATCGATATTACTATCGATCCCACGATCGACCTCACGATTGATCTGTCTATCAATATCATTATCGATCTCACTACGTATCGATCTCACCATCGATATCACCATCGACCTCACGATCGATAGCACTATCGATATCACCATCGATCTCGCTATTGGTCTCACTATCGATCTCACCGTCGACCTCACTACGGGACACCGACGGGACACCAGCGGGACACCCCCCGCCAGTCGGACACCGTTCGAAAACTGTGAATCGATCGGAACGCACGAAACCTCAAACGAACGCCGAGGGTCGAGAGCAACTGGCTCATGCTGTGGAGCTCCAAGCCCATACCCCAGCGGGAACGCCAACCCAACCCCACCACCAGCGCACGCCACGTGACTGTGCGCCTTGTCTACCGCAGGACTACCTGACTGTACACCTCGCCTGCCGCCGCTGGGGCCCTACGGTGGCGGCAGCTCGTTCACCGCCCGCGCGCGAGCTCGGGTGCACATCGCCCGTCACTCTGTGGAGGCACGGACCCAGACCCCCGACGCCGTGGTATTTTCGTGACGCGACCCCCAGAAGTCTGGACTCCTTCCCAAGGGGCTGGCTTTCATCCCGAGTCGTGCCTTGACGGCCCCGAGGCCCGGGAGGGGCCCCGAGCGGCCGAAGACAGCGAAACACCTCCAGTCGTGATCGTTCCACGGCGCGAGGGGGCCTGGGACCCGAGCGCAAAGCATGGTGTGTCGTGCGCTGCAACGGGCCCGTTGGGCGCGTTCGCCGGCCGGAGCCGCCCATGGGCGCCCGCGTGGGCGCCTCGTGCGCTGGCTGGCGCCGCCTCGGTTGCCCCACAAGACCTGCACAACATACCTCCTGCTCTTCCTCCTCCTCCTCCTCCTTCTCCTCCTCCTCCTCCTCCTCCTCCTCCTCCTCCTCCTCCCCCTCCTCGCCCTCCTCCCCCTCCTTCCCTTCCCACCTTCCTTCCTCACCCCTTGCTCCCCGCGCCCGCGATGCGCAGGGAAAGTCGCCCGCCCTTCCAGATACCCAGTGCACAGCCTCACTGCTTGGGGTCCACGCTGGTAAGCATTACACTTGAGCCGTATGTTGCTCCCATCGTACTTGAGAGCCGCATCCCAGAAATAGTTTCGAGAACCCAGAAGAGTATCGAAATGGCGTCGAAGGAGTATCGCCTCGCAGGGCCCGACACGTGAAAACCATCAAGTGTTGGTACTTTCTTGGCGCTCGAAATTCTTTCTGGTGATCAAGGCTACAGTAGTTTGTAACATCATACAAAAGAAGCCTGGCGCTCATCAGGACAGTGCTCCTGCACCAGAGGGAGCAGCGTGTATACAGGAATGGGATGATAAGGATCACAAGGGCAGAGTCTGGAAACAGTCTGGCAAGGAACTGTGAATGACCCAGTTCCAATCGGAAGGCGCGTGGGGCACATCACACTTCTGGACGGCCGCAAAAATACCTTCAGCAATACATGGATGAGCAAGAAACTGCATAAGACACATGCTTCCCTAGGTCCGCGCGGACTTCTTGGATCGGTGCTGGACCCCCTCCCTGGCGCGAGGAGCGCACCAGGAGCGGCGCCGGCGGCGCCGCCCAGGGGAGGGGGGGCAGCCCAGCGCCGACCCAAGGCTGCGGCGCGGACCTCCGAAAGATTGTGCCTACGCAGCTGTTTCTTCCTCGACGGGCACACTGCCCGAGGCTCCTCGAGGCAGTGGGAAGTGGCCGCTCTGTGCCAGCCTCGCCTCGCCAGTGGGGGCCGTGCCCTGCTTCGACGAGGGTCTGTAGAGCTGGACCTAGCAGAGGGGCAAAAGCGCTACCGGTGGGTACCGCTGAGAAGGCGATACTCGCCTCAAGCGAGAGCGGTGGAAGGGAAGGGGTCCCGAGGGAAACGAGTCCTGGAAACTCGTCGCCGTTCGAGAGGCTCCTGGGGCCCTGTCAGAGCCCCAGAGCTGTCAACTGAACTGCTCGGGACGAACAACAAAAAAACATGCATGGGTCCAGGACGCGCCTCTCTCGACGCCCTTCTGCTTCGGGCTAGATCAATACAACGGCACAGCTCAGAGGAACAGAAAACCGGCGCACGACATACCATGGAGGCGAGCACTGCTGTCCCGGGTCGGCGTCGGCGCCCCTCTCCCCTGAGGCGCGCGAAGTGCGCCAAAGGGGCGGCGCCAGAGGCGCTGCCTGGGGGAGCCGACGGAAGAAGTCCGCGCAGAGCCCAGACACGTGACCGTCAGAAGCTCTTGCTTCGCGTGCCGCGGCGGCGGCACCAGCGGCATGACATGTAGCACGTCCCGCGAGCGGATAGCGTGTCGCACAGCTCCGCGGGGCCGGAGGCTGGAAGATCCTCGGAGCGCTGACGCGTGGGGGGCCGGGACTCGGGCAGCGTGTCAAGCCGAAGCGTGGTGGCCAGAAAACCGACGGCGCGACACGCTAAGCCTCGCGCCCCCGAAATGAGTACGGAAAGCACGGGCAGAATGCCCGACAGCAGGTGCTACCTCAATCCGACGGCGGCCGCTGAGTGGGCAGGTGCACAGAAGCCGCAGGGAAACCGCTGCGACGACACCGACAGCGACTCCTGCTCGGAGTGGGATGGCAGGAACTGCTGTCGGTCTTCGCCTCCATCGTTTCCGCACCCCTTCCCGATCGTGCATATGAGTAAACCTTCCCGACCGAAGGCTTAAGCAACGTTTCGATCCTCCGAGCGGCTCGGGAGAGCGGGCGGCGGGCGCGCGCGCGAGCGCGGGCCCGCCAGTCACAGCTCTTCGTCCCGCAGGTCCTCGGTGAAGCCGTTGGGTTTGCGCCTGCACACGGGGCGGCTGCCGCGGACTTATACGGAGGAGGGGAGGCTGGGGCTGCGAGGCCAGGCGAGATGTCGACGGAGAAGGCCTTCTCAGAAGGCGGCGGGACTTTTCAGAAGCCCTCGCGCCTTCTGAGAAAAGTTCTGTGTCTTCCGGGAAGGCTCAGAGCACTCTTCAGATGGCCGGAGGGGCTTCCAAGCCTTCTGAGATGGCCTTCTCCTCCTCTTCCTCCTCCTCCTCCTCCTCCTCCTCCTCCTCCTCCTCCTCCCCGCGGAGGCACAGAAGCGGAAGGATCGAAGACGTCAATGCGGAGCGGGGCGGAAGGTGAAATTCGGACTGCAGCAGGCTGCAACTCGGGCGCTCCCTTCTCCCCTGGGGGGCCCTGGGGCCCCGTCCTCCTCCTCCTCCTCCTCCTCCTCCTCCTCCTCCTCCTCCTCCTCCTCCTCCCCTAGCAATGGACCGTCAGCGCGAGGCGGCAGGGGGGGCCCTCGTTGTGGTGTGGCCTCCCCCTCTCGCTCGAGATATCCCCTATCCGCGAGAGAGTGGGGGATCAGCGGCAACGTAGGAGGGGTTGGGGGGGGGGGCGGATCAGGGGGGAACCGTCGAGCTGGACTCGGCGACACATCGCTGAACAGAAATCGGCGGCGGGCCCCCGACAGCGAATCCGTTCGTTCCTGGGCGGGGGCGGGCCATCGCGCCCCCGTCGGCGACCCATGGGCGATTGGGGGGCGATGCATCCCCCCCTGAGGCTAATCCCCCCCTAACGCGTAGCCCCTGGGGGGAGGAGCGGGGAGGGAAGCGGAACGGACGGAGGAGGGAGTGAGGAGTGATGGGGGAGCGAGGGGGTGGAAGAGGAGGAGGAAGAGGAGGAGGAGGAGGAGGAGGAGGAGGAAGAGGAGGAAGCGGAGGCGGAGGAGGATGAGGTTTGGGCGTCTGGGAGGCCGCGGGTCTCCGACACGACTGGGCCCTACGCCCGGGCCTCCTCCGACGCGCATCGTCGAGGGGCAGCTCGACAGCCTGGAGAGCCGCTCGAGCTGAGCGAGGTGGCATCAGCCTCACTGAAGGAGCTTACTTTGGCCTTGCGCTCTGGATGGGCCAGCCCAGGCAACTACAAGTAGAGCGCAATTCAATTTTAAGTAGAACGCGTTTCGACATTGGGCGGAAGGGGGGGAGGGGGGGGTCTGGCCTTGGACCTCTGCTTAGTGCGACTGTTTGGGACCGTGCGTCCTATGGGGGCGATTCCACCTGCTCGAAACAGGCGCCAAAAACAACCAATGGGGGGAGGTGGGAGTGCGAGGGCCCGCGCCGATCGGCAAACTAATGAAACAAAAGCTCACTATGTGAAGGACTGCTTCGGGATGGGGGTGGAGTCCACCCAGAGCCAGGAGGGGGTTCAAAAAACGGGGGCGAGCGAAGATCATAGCCGAGCTGCCGACGTGTGAGCGCATGCATGGGCGAGCAATTGCAGAAGTAATGTGCAAGCGAGCCGCGCTCCCCAGGACATCCAGGCGGCGGAGGAGGAGGAGGAGGAGGAGGAGGAGGAGGAGGAGGAGGAGGAGGACGGGGCCCCAGGGCCCCCCAGGGGAGAAGGGAGCGCCCGAGTTGCAGCCTGCTGCAGTCCGAATTTCACCTTCCGCCCCGCTCCGCATTGACGTCTTCGATCCTTCCGCTTCTGTGCCTCCGCGGGGGCCGCTTCTGGGAGCCCGCCCAGGCCGTCGACGCGCGAGCCAGGACGAACCACGCAGATCGCCCCGAGGGCCCGAGGAGATGGGTCCACGGCTCCGGGATCCGTGTTCAACTCTCTGCAACATGCACACACGCGCACACGGTGAACAGACACACATCTAGCAGCTGCACGCCTCAGGTCGGCGGGGACGAGAAAGGTCCCAGGGGGGTGGGCGCCAAGGGGCGAGGTGCGCGTGCTGCTTCCGGACCAGAGGGGGTCTTTCGCAATGAGGTCGCGGAACACGTTGCAACAGTTCATCCTGTGGCTCATGGCGCGAGGCCTCTCTCACGGACCGACGATGCCAGATGCAGCGCAGCCTGCCCTCATCCAAGACGATCCAGCACGAACGATAGCACGAACTATTGAACACATTTCCGAGACCTCCTTTGCAAAGGACACATTCGCCCGAATCCGAGCGTGGCCTTCCGGAGGCGGGCGCGGACTGAACATTCGTATCGCGTTCCCAGATATCGTGACAGGAGGAGGAGGAGGAGGAGGAGGAGGGAGAACGAGGAGGAGGAGGAGGAAGACCAGTGTAAACCCAAGAGTCATCAACGATGTTGGAATAAACACTCTCTCCAAGCTCCCCCTGTATATGCTCCTACAACAGTTCATCTCCACTGAAGGAACTGCCTCAGCGGAAGACAACCATTTGAAGATTCTGAGGCATGTCAAAACATTGTTCTCGGGAATCCAACGCCACGGATCAACCTGACTGTTGCGTCTTGGCGAGCCTGAATCGTGCCAGAACGCCATTCCTGGGACCTCAAGACCGCGAATCAACGGAACTGCTGCGCCCGCATAGTCCTAAACCTTTCCCAACAAACATTTCTGATACAGTCATCACGGAAACCCGCGAATCTCTTGCACATACTATATACGAGTGTGTCTGGTGCTAAAGCGAGAGCCACATATTGAAAAGAAGCCGCCCCGAGTCCGTGAAACTCCTGCACCTTTGTACAACGCAGATGCGCGGTGCTGAAGCGAGCGACGCATTTTGAAAACCAGTCGCCCTCCGTCCGTGAAGTTCTCGCAAGATTCAAGACAACGCAGCTGCGCGGCGCTGAGGCGAGAGCCACATTTTGAAAACGACCCGCCCTCCATCTGTGAAGCCCTTGCCAATGATTGAGCTTCAGGGCCATTCGTGATGAGGCCGTCTCAGACGAACCGCCTGGCCCGCCCAAACAACTGGCCTCGGGGTGCGACAGGGAAAACTTATTTATAAGGGACAGGAATGGAGGATGAGGAGAAGGAGGAGGAGGAGGAGGAAGAAGAGGAGGAGAAGGATGATGAGGAGGAGGATGAGAACCTCCTCCTAGGAGAGGGAGGTGGAGGAAGAGGAGGGGGAGGAGGAGGAGAAGGAGGGGAAGGAGGAGGAGGAGGAGGAGGACGACGAGGAGGACGACGAGGAGGAGGAAGGGTCGAGGAGGTCTCAAGGACGAGGGCGCCTGGAGCGTCCGAGAGGCCGCTCCCCCGCCTCCGCAGGCGGTGGAAGGCCGCCCCCCGTCTCTCCCAGCGCGGGGACGAGGAAGGGGAGGAGGACCCACGACGGCCCCCAAAGGCCTCCAGGATAGCTCCAAGACAGCCCAAAGGGCCCCCAAGATGGGGCCCCAAGTCGGCCCAAGAGGACCCAAAGATCGCCCAATGAGGGAAATCGCACGTGTGGCAATGGACGGCGCCCGATTGGAAAGTAGGGGAAGGAGGAGGAGGAGGAGGAGGAGGAGGAGGAGGAGGAAAAGGAGGAGAAGGAGGAGGAGGAGGAGAAGGAGGAGTAGAGAGGAAACAACTGCATTAACATGAATGTTCGACGATCCGCGCGGATTTATCCGATCTGCGCTGGACCCCCTCCCTGGCGCGCAGAGCGCGCCAGGAGCGGCGCCGGGCCCAGCGCAGATTCGAGACACCCGCGCGGAGCTCCGAACGTTTGTGCTGATTGAGCGTTATCTTCTGCAAGAGAATAGAGGCATCCCAGATGAGGTCCGAGTAGATGGGGGCGGAGGATTGCGCCGCATCTCCGATGCACCGCCAGTGCATCGGCGGCGCTGGCGCGGGGACCGTCGGGCTCCACATCGAGCTGCATCCCTGGCGCATCGGCGATGCGGCGTGAGCCTCCGACCCCGTCCGCTTGGACCTCGGACCCGATCTGTTTTTGGCGACGCGCACAAGGAAGTAGGGTTAGGTCGGGCATGTCCTCCTATAGGCGGATGACGAAAAATAAAAATGACAATAGTCAAAGTATGAAGACAAATAAAAATAAATGAAACAATAATGTTCCCGGCAAAGCAACCTAACAGCGATGTGTAGGAGCATATCTGGAAGCATTCCCCTTAAGATTCAGATGAGAATCCAGTTGTAGAATTCTGCTGTTCTCGCAGTCGTAGTCGCATTCGCGATGACAGTCGCAGTGGCAACGGCAGTCGCAGTCGCAGTCACAGCCTCAGCCTCAGCCTGCCTCAGCCTCAGCCTCAGCCTGCCTCAGCCTCAGCCTGCCTCAGCCTCAGCCTCAGCCTGCTTCAGCCTCAGCATCAGTCTGCCTTCAGCCTCGGCCTCGGCCTCAGCCTGCCTCAGCCTCAGCCTGCATCAGCCTCAGCCTCAGCCTCAGCCTGCCTCAGCATCAGCCTGCCTCAGCCTCAGCCTCAGCCTCCCTCTGCCTCAGCCTGAGCCTGCTTCAGCCTCAGCCTCGGTCAGCCGTCGGCCTCGGCCTCAGCCTCAGCCTCAGCCTCAGCCTGCATCAGCCTGCCTCAGCCTCAGCCTGCCTCAGCATCAGCCTGCCTCAGCCTCAGCCTCAGCCTCAGCCTGCCTCAGCCTCAGCCTCAGCCTGCAAGTGGCCTACAGTTGGCTCCGAGCATTCAAAATCATGCCCAGGAATGCAGTTCTGGGAATTCGAAGACCACGAAGTGGCCTACAGTTGGCTCCGGGCATTCAAAATCATGCCCAGGAGTGGAGTTCTGGGACCTCGAAGACCACGAAGTGTGAAACTGTGTGCTTAAAACGACTTCCGCGGGTTCTCCCCGGCACCCGCCCAGCCCCCCCTGGGGAGTCAAGATGCTCTCTTTTGACACTACTAGAAACCTATCAGTCTTCGCTGTTAGGTAATTACCCTGGCGACGTACCCAACCCCTGCGCAATGCGGGGCATGAGTAGCTTGGGAGACGTCATACGGATGTGATGACGTGACATGGGCGCATATACTTCTGCGTGCGGCATTCGTGAGGCTCGCAGCCCCCCAATGATTGCGATGTCTCGCTCAGATCTGCCTGGTGCCTCGCTCCGCTGA